TTAATAGTGTGTGTGTGTGTGTGTGTGTGTGTGTGTGTGTGTGTGTGTGTGATGAAAATGCATTAAAAATATAAGAGGATAAAAAGAAAGTTAATTATAAATAAAGAAAATAACAAAATACTGCAAATTGTGAATCTCATTGCAAAGAGATAAAAATGAGAACTATTTGAATATGACAAGCAAATAATTACAACATTAACGCAAAAGATATTATATTATTGTTAATAATAGAAAATAATAGACAAAGTGTTTTAAGTTTTTTGTTGGGATAATGGGTTTGTTGAATAATACAACATAATATTGATACATAACATTTGTGTACAAACTATTTACAAATTATTAGTTATTGTTTGTAATTTGAGGCTGAATTATTTATTTAATTTTTTTTTAGGAAAAAATTGAAAACGTAAAATTTTATAAGTTATCAGATTAAAGATAATATTTTTAATCAGTATTTTAGTGATTTGGATAAGACAGTGCTTTATAAAAAGGTTCATTCACGAATAGGTTCATGAGTTATCCCAGTTATTAAGAGTAAAGAAAAAGAGAAAAAAGAAATAAGAAAGTTCACTCTTTTAATAGATTGAAAAATAAGATAAGATAACAACTGACGGGACAATAGGATAGATGTTATCAAAGATGTCAGAGATATTATTAATAAAAAGCCTATATCCAGCCACTTTGTTTCTATTTAATTATGTAGGTATGTATTAAATTTACATATATTATAAGAACAATATAGGTTAGAACAATGTATGCATTTTGATATATGATATTTTTATAACACTTATCGTAAACTTGGGCTGGATCCAACAGTCGATCATATTGTTTATGCAACATGCAAGACTTATAACAAATTCGATTGGATGTATATAAAAGACAATCGTATAAAGACAGACACAATAGCGATTTAAGTAACTCATTAATAATATTCATATACTTAATGTTATAATGCTTAACAGAAAATTATATAATTATATTAAAAAAATCAATTTTAAAATATATTTATCCGAATGTATCTATTTATGAGAATATTATGAGAATTATGGGAATTAAAAATTTAATTTTATAAGAGCGACAAATTAAACAGGAAAGAAAAGACTGGTAATATTGCATCAATTTTTACAAAAAATAATGAAAATATTCTCTATCGTATTTATGAATAACAAACAAATATTTTAATTTCTATCCGGGCGATAATTTCTTTGGAAGAATTTTCAAATCTTCAAAATATACGAAAGATGATGAAAAGATATAAAATAAAATATTATGTACAAAATTGGATAAAAATATATCTGGTTATAAAAATGTCAACCAATATTATATGCATAACATATTATTTAATAACACCTTGTAATCCAAAAATTCAAAAATTAGCAATTAATTTATTTTTAGCCTGTAATTTATATTTTCACTCAGATGTTCTAATAGCAACGCTTTTATGCCATGCTTATGCACTTAATACATTTAATAAATAATAGATGACTTTTGGCATATAAAAAGTGCTATTAGTGCATCCAATTGAATTGCTGTTACCGTGCTATAAACAGGACAGAAAGAATGCGCACGATTACAATTTGAATTTACAATTATATCAATGATGTTTTAGGTTATCAATGATAAATTTTCAAATTTTATATGTACATTAAATAAATAGTGAGGCAGGTGGATGTACAACGTGTTACCCGATATGAGATTTACCGCACGACATTCACTATCAGCTTGTGATGACGCTGATAAACATATAGTGCTTAATAAAATAAAGTAAAGTAACCATATGTATAGCTCTTTTTTAGAAAAATGAGTTTAAAAATATATTTGATATTTACCTTTCTAGGAGATAAGATGAGAAAAATAGAATAATTATACAAAAAAATTATTTATAATCTTTTAGCTATAAAAATATTTTATTACAAACAATATAGACATTTGCAATAACAAAACAAAAACAAGAAAAATTATAAATAAAATTATAAATAAATTGGTTTTTATTTCCCGCTGATGACAGAT